CTTAGGAGTATATCTACCTAAAGAAACAAAAGACCTATACATAGAAAACTATAAAACACTGATGAAAGAAATCAAAGAGGACACAAACAGATGGAGAAATATACCGTGTTCATGGATTGGAAGAATCAATATTGTCAAAATGTCTATACTACCCAAAACAATCTATAGATTCAATGCAATCCCTATCAAACTACCAACGGTATTTTTCACAGAACTAGAACAAATGATTTCACAATTTGTATGGAAATACAAAAAACCTCGAATAGCCAAAGTAACCTTGAAAAAGAAGAATGGAACTGGAGGAATCAACCTGCCTGACTTCAGACTATCCTACAAAGCCACAGTCATCAAGACAGTATGGTACTGGCACAAAGACAGAAATATAGATCAATGGAACAGAATAGAAAGCCCAGAGATAAATCCACGAACCTATGGTCACCTTATCTTCGACAAAGGAGGCAAGGATATACAATGGAAAAAAGACAACCTCTTTAACAAGTGGTGCTGGGAAAACTGGTCAACCACCTGTAAAAGAATGAAACTAGAACACTTTCTAACACCATACACAAAAATAAACTCAAAATGGATTAAAGATCTAAATGTAAGACCAGAAACTACAAAACTCCTAGAGGAGAACAGAGGCAAAACACTCTCCAACATAAATCACAGCAGGATCCTCTATGAACCGCATCCCAGAATTTTAGAAACAAAAGCAAAAATAAACAAATGGGACCTAATGAAACTTAAAAGCTTTTGCACAACAAAGGAAACTGTAAGCAAGGTGAAAAGACAGCCCTCAGATTGGGAGAAAATAATAGCAAATGAAGCAACAGACAAAGGATTAATCTCAAAAATATACAAGCAACTCCTCCAGCTCAATTCCAGAAACATAAATGACCCAATCAAAAAATGGGCCAAAGAACTAAACAGACATTTCTCCAAGGAAGACATACAGATGGCAAAAAAAACACATGAAAAGATGCTCAAGATCACTCATTATCAGAGAAATGCAAATCAAAACCACAATGAGGTACCATTACACACCAGTCAGGATGGCTGCTATCCAAAAGTCCACAAGCAATAAATGCTGGAGAGGGTGTGGAGAAAAGGGAACCCTCTTACATTGTTGGTGGGAATGCAAATTAGTACAGCCACTATGGAAAACAGTGTGGAGATTTCTTAAAAAACTGGAAATAGAACTGCCATATGACCCAGCAATACCACTTCTAGGCATACACACTGAGGAAACCAGATCTGAAAGAGACACATGCACCCCAATGTTCATCGCAGCACCGTTTATAATAGCCAGGACATGGAAGCAACCTAGATGCCCATCAGCAGACGAATGGATGAGGAAGCTGTGGTACATATACACCATGGAATATTACTCAGCCGTTAAAAAGAATTCATTTGAATCAGTTCTAATGAGATGGATGAAACTGGAGCCCATTATACAGAGCGAAGTGAGCCAGAAAGATAAAGACCATTACAGTATACTAACACATATATGGAATTTAGAAAGATGGTAACGATAACCCTATATGCAAAAAAAGAAAAAGAGACTCAGATGTATAGAACAGACTTGTGGACTCTGTGGGAGAAGGCGAGGGTGGGATGTTTCAAGAGAACAGCATCGAAACATTTATATCTAGGGTGAAACAGATCACCAGCCCAGGTTGGATGCACGAGACAAGTGCTCGGGCCTGGTGCATTGGGAAGACCCAGAGGGATAGGGCGGAGAGGGAGGTGGGAGGGGGGACCGGGATGGGGAATACATGTAAACCCATGGCTAATTCATTTCAATGTATGACAAAAACCACGGCAATGTTGTAAAGTAATTAGCCTCCAACTAATAAAAATAAATGGAAAAAAATAAATAAAGTCACTCCAAAAAAAAAAAAAAGATTCAAGGGATTAGATCTTATAGACAGAGCACCTGAAGAACTATGAACAGAGGTTTGTGGCATTGTATGAGGCAGTGATCAAGACCGTGCCCAAGAAAAAGAAATGCAAAAAGGCAAAGTGGTTGTCTGAGGAGGCCTTAAAAATGGCTGAGAAAAGACGAGAAGCAAAAGGCAAAGGAGAAAAGGAAAAATATATCCATTTGAATGCAGAGTTCCAAAGAATAGCAAGGAGAGATAAGAAAGCCTTCCTCAGCGATCAATGCAAAGAAATAGAGGAAAACAATAGAATGGGAAAGGCTACAGATCTCAAGAGAATTAGAGATACCAAGGGAACACTTCATGCAAAGATAGGCACAATAAAGGACAGAAATGGTATGGACATAACAGAAGCAGAAGATATTATGAAGAGCTGGCAAGAATACACAGAACTCTACAAAGAAGATCTTCATGACCCAGATAACCAGGATGGTGTGATCACTCATGTATGTCAGACATCCTGGAATGTGAAGTCAAGTGGGCCTTGGGAAGCATCACTACTAACAAAGCTAGTGGAGGTGATGGAATTCCCGTTGGGCTATTTCAGATCCTAATGATGATTATATGAAAGTGCTGCACTCAATATGCCAGCAAATTTGGAAAACTCAGCAGTGGCCATGGGACTGGAAAAGGTCAGTTTTCATTCTAATCCCAAAGAAAGGCAATGCCAAAGAATATTCAAAGTACTGCACAATTGCACTCATCTCACGCGCTAGCAAAATAATGCTCAAAATTCTCCAAAACAAGCTTCAACCGTATATGAACCAAGCGCTTCCAGATGTTCAAGCTGGATTTAGAAAAGGCAGAGGAACCAGAGATCAAATTGCCAACATCTGCCAGATCATCAAAAAGCCAAGAGAGTTCCCACAAAACATCTCCTTCCGCTTTATTGACTATGCCAAAGCCCTTGACTGTGTGGATCGCTACAAACTGTGGAAAATTCTGAAAGAGATGGCAATACCAGACCACCTGACCTGCCTCTTGAGAAATCTGTATGCAGGTCAAGAAGCAGCAGATAGAACTAGACATCGAGCAACAGACTGGTTCCAAATCAGGAAAGGTGTATGTCAAAGCTGTATATTGTCACCCTGCTTATTAAACTTCTATGCAGAGTACATCATGCGAAATGCCAGGCTACATGAAGCATAAGCTGGAATCAAGATTTCTGGGAGAAATATCAATAACCTCAGATATGCAGATGACACCACCCTTGTGGCAGAAAGTGAAGAAGAACTAAAGAACTTCTTGATGAAATTGAGAGAGGAGAGTGAAAAAGCTGGCTTAAAACTCAACATTCAGAAAACTAAGGTCAGGGCATCCAGTCCAATCACTTCATGGCATATAGATGGGGAAACAATAGAAACAGTGACAGACTTTATTTTTGGGGCTCCAAAATCACTGCAGATGGTGACTGCCACCATGAAATTAAAAGACACCTGCTCCTTGGAAGAAAAGCTATGACCAACCTAGACAGCATATTAAAAAGCAGAGACATTACTTTGCTGACAAAATGGACATCTAGTCAAAGCTATTGTTTTTCCAGTAGTCATGTATGGATGTGAGAGTTGGACTATAAAGAAAGCTGAGCACCAAAGAATTGATGCTTTTGATGAGTGGTGTTAGAGATGACTCTTGATTGTCCCTTGGACTGCAAGGAGATCAATCCAGTCAGTCCTAAAGGAAATTAGTCCTGAATATTCATTTTAAGGACTGATGCTCAAGCTGAAGCTCCAATACTTTGGCCACCTGATTCGAAGAACTGACTCATTGGAAAAGACCCTGATGCTGGGAAAGATTGAAGGCGGGAGGAGAAGGGGACGACAGAGGATGAGATGGTTGGATGGCATCACTAACTCAATGGACATGAGTTTGAGTAAGCTGTGGAAGTTGGCAATGGACATGGAAGCCTGTCATGCTGCGGTCCATGGGATCGCAAAGATTCGGACAAGACTGAGTGACTGAAGTGAGCTGAACTGAACTGGGGGATGACACACTTTATTCCATCCTATCTCAAAAGTGCATATTGTGGGAGAGGGGCCTGGTGAAACGCCCTCAGCTTTGAGATGTCTCTCTTATCTGATCAATAGCTTTCTAACAGACATAAAACAACTTGCTAAGAACTAGCAAAGGGCACTCTTTCTGTCCCTTTTTGATGTCTATGTCAGAAGCTTTCCCTATCTCTATTATATTTTAATAAAACTTTGCTACACAAAAAGCTCCAAGTAATCAAGCCTTGTCTCTGACCCCAGATCAAAATCCTCTCTGGAGGTCATGAATCCTGACATAACACATAGTGCTCAGCAGCAACCTTTCAAAAACCACAGTAGGTTCCTTTGAGTGGGTCTTAAAATCATGCGGTTGACATCTTTCCTCAAGTTACACAAAATGAGTGACCCACACAGAAGGCACACCAGTGGTTGGAAGAGGACGATGGATTTGTGAGAGAATATTGAGAGCGTGCCCTTAAAAGGCTGTGAATCTCCCCAACCAAGGAAGAGGGATGGAAAGTGGGTCCTCTCTTCCCATCCGGCCAAGCAAGCAAGAGGGTGTTCAAGACCCCTCCCTAGAGCTTCAAGTGTGCCTCCTCTCCACCATGAACCAGGAAGTTCTGTGATGTGTTGTCCAGAGCAGGAGGCAGAGTGCATTTGCCCCGCCACCCCAGCTCAAACCCTGTCTAGGACCCACCCCCAACCCCTGAGACGTCACCATCACTGTGATAGCCATTGTTTGATCCATGTCCCCATTGTTCCAGGAGATGCCACAGGCCTCTCCAAAAGTCTCAGACTAAAGCTAGAGAGCCCTTGGCCCTAACCCACAAACTTCTCAGAGAGAGGTTCCTGCCTCCAGTCGGAGCCCCCCTCCCCTGCTTCCAACCTCAGAACAAATTTCCCTCAGACTCTCTGAGAAAGGAGGGCAAGGACGGCCTCATAAGTGAGGCAGGAGAGGCAACCCTCACGGAGGTGGCTGCTTCCGCCTCCTCTCAAGCTGGGCAGAAACACCTGGCATCCTTGGGAGGCAGAGATCCACCTCTAGCCCTAGATGCTGGCAACCTCAGCGGGGATGCGATCCCCCAGTCCGCCGCCATGTGTGCCAAGGGAAAGAAGCCCAAAGAAGGTCATGGCTAAGACCATGCGAGAATCCCTCAAGTGGTTTAACATGAAGAATGGGTATGGCTTTATCACCAGACATGATACCCAGAAAGATACCTTTGTTCCCCAGACGGCTATCACACAAAACAACTCCCTCAAATACCAACGCTGTGTGGCAACAGAGAAACTGTGGTTTCATGTGGTGCAGGGCGAGCGGGCCACCGAGGGCGCTAATGTGACCGGGCCAGTGGGTTAGCCCCAGTGAAGGGAAGCCGCTATGCTGCCAAGTGCCCCTGCTTCCACCAGGGCTTCTACAGCCACTACAGGGTCCCAAGGGCATCTAGGATGACACTGATGAAGGTGAGGTCAGCATCGAAGGATTCACTGCAACCCAGGGCCTCAGACACCATCTGCCTGGGGCCCCAAGACCAACGACTGAGGGGCTTCCTCCCTTTCCATAGGACCCCAACTGTGACCCACTGCCCATTGGTCCTGGCTACCACCTGCCTGGGTCCACCCCCACCACAAGGCTGGAGGACCATTGTCTGTGGGGTCCAGGCCCCAGCTACCTGCTGAGTCACCCTAGGGGCCGAGGCACCACTCCTGGTACAAGAAGCTCACCAGGCATCTCTGCCAGAGGCAGAACACAGGGAGAGCTAGTGCAATGCCAGCAAAGATCTGCAACAGAGGCCCCCTCCGTGCTAAGAATCCCGCCGCGGTAATAACCCACGCCGCTTCCTGCATCCCGCAGCAAGGACCTGGCACCCAGAGCCAGGATTCCGAGGGAGGAGAGGGTAAGATCAAGAAGAGCCCCGCTGAAACACCTGCTTCTGTCGCTGTGGCCAAGAAAACCAATGCCCCTGAGGAGGAGTACCCCCTTGGTTATGAATGTGCCCTCTGTAGCCGGGTCAAGTAACAGCTCGGCTTCCTCCCCAGAGACTCCCTGGCCTGGGCAACAGGTGATGTCCCCTTGAAGAGATGATACCCTTGGTTTCAGCTCAGTAAAAACATCCACACTGACTGTTAGATTTGGGCTCTGAGAAAAATACATACCCTTTACACAAGGTGTGAGGCTAAATTACAAGATCTATGTACTTCTAAATTCCTTCATACCATCTGCCTTGGTTGTTACTGAACACACACACTCACACACAACGCACACACAGAAACACCCACACACACCTCTGAATCTGTTCTTTTTAAAGATCTGACCAGGGGCACAGCCACTATTCTGCATCCCAAAGTAAATTAGTTGAAGGAAATTTTAAAATTGTTTTTTATTTTTTATTTTTTATTATTTTTTTTAATACAAGAATGAAGATCATCTCATACTGAAGATGATCTGACATTGCTGTTGTGATATTACTTACCTGAGTGGTCGTTTTCGCAATAAAACATTTCATGTTGCTTTTATCTGTCATCACTGTTGTCTGAAATTTTTTAAAGCCTAGAAGGCAATGGCACCCCACTCCAGTACTCTTGCCCGGAAAATCCCATGGACGGAGGAGCCTGGTAGGCTGCAGCCCATGAGCTCGCAAAGAGTCGGACACGGCTGAGTGACTTCACTTTCACTTTTCACTTTTATTCACTGGGGAAGGAAATGGCAACCCACTCCAGTGTTCTTGCCTGGAGAATCCCAGGGATGGGGTCGCACAGAGCTGGACACGACTGAAGTGACTTAGCAGTAGCAGTAGCCCATATTTGTATTGAGACAGCCCCTTCAAATCTTTTTTTTAAGAATGAGTTTTAGCAAAGATCATACATATTGATCTCTTTACAAGTCATGAATTTAAGACTAATTCTGGACTTACAGGTTGAACGTCTAAAGGGTAAGAATGCATAAAAAAGTACCCCAATCTCTTATATTTTCATACTCTTCTGCTGCCCTAGAAATGGAGCAATAATTAGGGACAGTGGACCCAACTACCCACACTTACTGATAAGGTAGTACTCTATGGGGCAAAAAGAAAAACTGAGCAAAATATCATGGCAAGTAGAAAATGTGACTCTCTGCAAGCAGAATTCGCCTCTTTTGCATTTTTTTTCTTTTAATGGACTCAGTCTACTACCATTTAAGTATATAGAAGAAAATGGGCAGGAGGGGCTGGGGTGGTGGAAAATAAGGAGATGATCCTCAGAGATCCTCAGAGGAGATGATCCTTACAAACTTTTAGTTGTAAGATTAGTAAGTTCCAAGGATCTAATGTACAACATAGAGACTATAGTTAACAGTACTGTATTGTATGCTTGAAAGTTGCTGTGAGAATAGAGCATTAATGTTCTCACCATGATAACAAAAACAAAATGTTAATTACGTAAGCTAAAGGATGTGCTAATTAACCTTATTGTGGGGAATATTTTACAGTATCAGTTTAGTTCAGTCGCTCAGTCGTGTCCGACTCTGCTATCCCATGGACTGCAGCATCCCAGGCTTCCCTGTCTTTCACTAGCTCCTGGAGCTTGCTCAAACTCAAGTCCATTGAGTTGGTGATGCCATCCGACTATCTCATCCTCTGTCATCCCCTTCTGTTCCTGCCTTCAATATTTTCCAGCATTAGGGTCTTTTATAATGAGTCTGTTCTTCGCATCAGGTGGCCAAAGTATTGGAGTTTCAGCTTCAGCCTCAGTCCTCCCAATGAATAGTCAGGATTGATTTCCTTTAGGATTGACTGGTTTGATCTCCTTGCAGTCCAAGGGACTCCTCAGGAATCTTCTCCAGTACCACAATTCAAAACCATCTATTTGTCAGTGCTCAGCTTTCTTTATGGTCAAAATCTCACATCCGTACATGACCACTGGAAAAACCATAGCTTTGACTAGACAGACGTTTGTCAGCAAAGTAATGTCTCTGCTTTTTAATATGCTGTCTAGGTTGATCATAGTTTTTCTTCCAAGGAGAAAGTGTCTTTTAATTTCATGGTGGCAGTCACCATCTACAGTGATTTTGCAGCCCCCAAAATACTCTGTCACTGTTTCCATTGTTTTCCCATCTATTTGCCATGAAGTGATGGGACCGGATGCCATGATTTTAGTTTTCTGAATGTGAGGGTTTTTGTTTTTTTGTTGTTGTTGTTTTTGTTTTTACCAGGAAAAAAAAACACATTTAACTTACACATTTAATTTTGTATGTAAAAATATGGGACTCAAGTTTGCAGTCAGGCAATTCAGGCTTTATAAATGCCATCCTGAGCCAAGGAATGAGATAGGGACCTGGAGCTTCACAGGGGAAGAAGACCATTCATAGGAAGAGAAGAACAGATATTTGCTCTGCCATGCAGATAAGTCTTTCAGATAAAAAGTTATTGCTGGTAATAGCTCTCTTTCTGGGCTGGGTCTTCTGTCTAGATTCTTTCAGGCAGTTGAAGGGGAGAGAAATTTTTTCTTTAGTTTTCTGGGTCTTGATTGCAAGCAGTTCAAAATAATACACATGCTAAAGTGGCACATTTTGGGGTGGCATATTCTGTTCTCTTTCAGCCTCAAGTAAGTAGATAGCTTTTTATTTCTGAAAGAATCCTATTATCACCACTTTAATGTTATTTGGGTCTTTCTCTGCTTTTCTAGAGCTCATACCACTCAGTTTACTCAACCAGGTTGGTATTACCTGAAGACAGTCGGCCATTTAGAGAAAGGAGGAAGCTGTGTAGCTCTGACGGATGGTTTAGGTAACCTCACCATCATTGCTGAAACTATGGTAATTCTTTGTTGGTTTTATTGGATTAATTCACTTTCTTAGTATTGGGGGGAAAAGCATAAAACGTAACTGAACACCTTAAAAAAATAAAGGAGCTTTTCTTTTCTGTGTAGGATGCCAGGACTGGGATGACCAGTCTGTGGCTTGACCTGGTCACTCTCCGGGCTGAGGGTCCACCTGTGCAAACCTTCTCTTCCTTTCAGATTCCTCCCAGGGGTGAAGGACCCAACTTCATGCTTTTTTCCCCATTCTACCCAGCTACGTGGAAATCTTTCTTGCAGCTTTGGTTGTAAAGAAATTCTGCCAGTTCTTCAAGTAGCTGAAGGGAAAGGGCTTGCTGCTGCTGCTGCTGCTGCTAAGTCGCTTCAGTCATTTCTGACTCTGTGCGACCCCATAGATGGCAGCTCACTAGGCTCCTCTGTCCCTGGGATTCTCCAGGCAAGAGTACTGGAGTGGGTTGCCATTGCCTCCTCCGTGAATATGAGTTTTAAGCCAGCTTTTTCACTCTCCTCTCTCACTTTCATCAAGAGGCTCTTTAGTTCCTCTTCTCTTTCTGCCATAAGGGTAGTATCATCTGCATATCTGAGTTTATTGATGTTTCTCCCAGCAATCTTGATTCCAGCTTGTACTTCATCCAACCCAGAATTTCACATGATGTACTACTCTACATATAGGTTAAATAAACAGGGTGACAATACACAGCCTGACATACTCCTTTTCCAATTTGGAACTAGTCTCTTGTTCCATGTCGAGTTCTAACTACTCTTTCTTGACTTCCACACAGATTTCAAAGGAGGCAGGTTATGTGTTCTGATATTCCCATCTCTTTAAGAAGTTACCACTGTTTTTTGTGATACACACAGTCAATGAAGCAGAATTAGATGTTTTTCTGGACTTCTCTTGCCTTTTCTATGATCCAACAAATGTTGGCAATTTGATCTCTGGTTCCTCTGCCTTTTCTAAAACCAGCTTGAACATCTGGAAGTTCTTGGTTCATGTACTGTGAAGCCAAGCTTGGAGAATTTTTAGCATTACTGTGCTAGCATGTGAGATGAGTACAATTGCGTGGTAGTCCGAACATTCTTCAGCATTGCGTTTCTTTGGGATTGCAATGAAAACTGACCTTACTTGTATACAAATTATCACATTGTACATCTTAAACTTACACTATATCTCCATAAATATGAGGGAAAAAAAACTGAAGGAACAAAAAGTGAGCATAGAAGCAGGTATAATTTTTGTTGTGCATACCTCTAGAGTTGAAGAGAAGTCCATAGTCTTCATCTGTGCTTCTTGGTTGAGTTCATCTAGGGGGCCTGTGGAGGATTTCTGGAAGGTTGAGCAGGCACAGTTCAACCCACCTCATCCACTTTCCCAACAAACAGAGATGTGCTTGGGAATATTATCCTTATCCTGGTCTTTATTTGAACATGAGATGGGGTTAATGGTTGGGAGGCTGGACTTGGGTTTGGAGGTGGGAGAAATGACCCATCAATACATTGAAACTGACAGAGGTCTTTAAAATCTCATTTTACAGATTAAGGAAGCTGGATTATAAGTAACAAGATAAAAATACTTTTCTCATTTAAATGCTGTGGCATTTTACATCATGTTAATAGACTTGCATAATGTATTTGGAGAGTGAGTATTCAATAATTCATTATGGCTAAATATCCTAATTCATTCACAGAGAAACAGTAGAGACTCCTCATCTAGAGAATATTTGAGTGCCCACTCGTTCCAGACACTCTGCCAGGCACTAGGAATTGCATCACCATGACGAATATGGTCCCTTCTCTCAAGGAGCCCACAAACTAGTGGAGAATGAGACAAAAGTGACAGTGGCTACACAATGGAGTGAGTGCCCTGGTGGAGCTAGCACAGGATGTGAGAGGAAACACAAGTGAGACAGATGGTGGCAAGGTTAGTTCCAGGCTTAAGGAATCACTACTTAGACACTTGAAGTTAAAATTGTATCTAGCAGTCACCACAAAACTCAGATTTGATAAAGTCGCTCTAACATAGAGCTAGAAGTTGTTCATCCAGACTCCTAGCCTAGTGCACTTCCCAGTATACCAACTGCCTTCTTCAGGGACTAGCAGAGTGCACCAAAAGTCACCAAACATAAGACTTTATACTGACGCACAGCACCAGGTGAGAATAGGAGAAGACTTCTAAACCTGCTATGATTAGGAAAGAGCTCAGGTCCCTCCAGGATACCTTTC